AAACTCTTTACGAGTATCATCAAGGATCCAATGCATAAACTTCATCATCTGCTGCCCCGAAGAACGAGACTGATTATTCTTTCAGGACGAATCGGTATTTTAATATGTACGTTACACGCACGAACCGCTTTTATAACTCTTTCATTCCTGCTATGTGTAGGAAGTTTGTAGGATAGATTTTATGCTTATTTTAATCGAATTTTGATCGAGGGTGGGTTTTATAATATTGTATTAATAATATATTTATATGTAGTGCATGTGATAATATGTAATCCACGCAATTCAGCTTCTGGCTGCAATGTGGTTTGAATTTAATAATAATAATAACCCCTGATGAAGACACTAGACTGGAGTGTCGAAACGTTGGGTCTTGATTACAATTCGACTGGGCTTTGTAATCATTTATTTAAACCAGAGTAGCGAGCGAAACATGATTGTTAACAACTTGTTACGTGCAGACGATATCAGACTTGTTGGAACAACTTGTTGCGATCTGTTGGCCTCATCAACCTTGTCACAAGATGATAACAACTTGTTCCAGACTTGAAAGCAACCGGGAAAAAGCAGTATGAACACATCTTGTTGACAAGCTGTGTGATTCTTATACGAATTTCTTTCTCTTGATCGTTATAACCCATTCGTTTCTCAACAGTGTGGTGGTCGGGAGCATTGAACGAAAGCTACCCAAATCAACGTGGAATCAATGGATAGAACGAGGTAGAAAGGGACACATAGTGATTCTTGATCACAACACAAAGTTCACAGATATCAAGCCAGAGAGTAAAATTCAAAGTTTGAAAGATGCAATATATTTATACGATACGTCGTGTACTCTCAAGTCAGAACCACGTTTTCTCGATGGTGGCTATGAAGCTTGGATGTGGCATTATCCATCGTTGGTAACCAACCCCAAACTTCCCGAGGTAAATATGCAGAAAGATGATGTATTATTAAAGAGCCAATTTTTTCTATGGCACGTATTTGCTAGTCTCCTTCGCAGCCGCTCTTTGTGTCGAGCTCGTGGAGAGAAACCTCGACACAAAGAGTGGCTGCGAAGGAGACTACGTATTCGCGAAGAAAAGTGTTCAAAACCGAAAATCTTTTTGGCGTACTGTACATCTCAAAATTGGTTTGTTTTAACTTTATTCTTTAGTTTATACAGTTAACTACCTTTTTAAATGTATTTGCCAGTTGAAAAACATAAAATAATCTACCTCCTCCGGAGGCCATACAGCCCGCAACGAGTATGCCCGTTCGCATGTTCAAATTTGAGACGAAGGCTTGCGTAGCTGTAAGATTCCCACCAATTTTCAAACTGAGTGAATTGGCGCAGAACGTAACAGCTGTCTACGGCAATTTTGGCAGTTTCCACGGCATTTTTTCAAATTAATAAAAATTTAAGTTTATTGTTACTTTGGATTGTTGACAAGCTAAGTAACATGTTTACGTATTTCTTTAAGTGTCTTTTTTTCGAAGAAAACTGAGACTAAAATAGTAATTTACGCATGATTTGATCAACATCTGAATTCAAGTATCAAAATAGTAACGCACAGTGAATAGTATAAAAATTACACTATACGGCAAAAAATTGCCGTCGTTGCCACAATAATCCACGGCATTTTGTTCTTCCTCTACGGCAACTGCCGCGATTGCCGCGATAAAATTATTAGGTCACTCCGTTGAATATGATTTTTTAATATTCAACGTTATGACGTCACTCCGTTGAATATTATGTCAAAACTCCATATTTGGTCAACTATTGAGTTGATATGACGATTTCACAGTTGGCTGTTAGCCAATCAGAAACCATGGATCTTTTAACTAAATAATATTGAGCGCATGTTACATACAGTAACATACGAAAAATTCTTCTCTTCATTGGTTTCATTTCTTTCTCTTTACAGCAGATCGTACCATCTGAAAATAAAGCACTGTTCAGTTTAGACTCGATCAGTTACCCCGAGTTACCAACACTTCCCGAGCCTGCCCAACCTAAACCTCAATCAAATGGTACTACAAATGGTCCGGTACAAGCTAAGCTTAACTCGCCATCAAACTCCCAACCTTCACCAACCGGCGCTAGCCCCCCTGCTGGGACTATGCTACAGCGACAAAATGGTCAACACGCAACCGTTCCTGCTAGCATTTCACAAAACGTTCCATCTGCAATGAGAGCGGTCAATCCTGCCAGCTTACCAAATAATCAGAGCTTGCCGAGACCTCAAAACGCACAAAATATCCCGCCTAATGTTCCTGCTACCCAACCATTTCCAAACAACACCACACAACAACAGCAGTTGCCATCACAAGGAATGCCTCAACAACGGTCACCAAGCACCAGCCCAAATGCTGTCAGCAACGTAGTTCCTAACAGCAATGACGTCATCCGCATGGGACCAAACTCTCCCCAGGGACTTAGCCCTACCCATCAACCAAGGCTCGTCCATGTCCCAGTAATCTCTAACCATGGCTTACAACCTGCAAACCAGAACACCCCAAGACAAATAATACCTAACATTCCAAGTGCACCACAAACCAATGGTAACGGCCAAGCGGTTCCTACCAGTAACGTATCACAAACTGTCACCTCACTGCCAAATAACCAATCACAGGCTGGTAAGTCACTTCTGCTGAACCAAGCACAGAATGGCACCCCACATCCAATGGTACGACCTGTAGCACCTCAGGCAAGTACCAATACGATGACCAGTAAGAACTCGCCAGTTGCGGGACCATCTATGGCACCAACACCGCCATCTCAAATACCATCAACTGTTACCTCCCCCCAGCAACCTCCTCAACATCCCTCAGGTGTAGTTGCCCCCCAACCCCCGTACACTGTCAATGGTCAATCTAACCCCACACCACACCCTCAGACCCTTCCTTCTAACATTTCCCCTACTCATCCACAACCCTCTATGTCTCAACAACTTCGCCCAAATGTTAGTGGAATCTTACCAAAAATGACAGCAAGAAACCCCTCTAATATCCCTGGAAGTACTACGCACGTACCCCAACGTCAAGCAACGTCAGCACCTATCCCATCAAACACTACTCATGTACCCCAAAGTCAGCGTCCCACATCTATACCCAATGTACCCCAGACATTCACGAGCAGCCGTACTGGGATGACCCATGGCCTCCCCCCTGGTTGGGAACGTGTTTTAGATAGAAAGATGGGGAGGTATTACTTCCAAGATCACAACACCAAGACAACACATTGGAACCCGCCTGAGAGTTTGACTCAAACTATGAACCAAAGCATCATGGGACATAACGCACCAACGGCCAAAGAAACCGAGCCTAAAAAACCATCACTCAAAAGGTCACTATCGTCACCAAATCTCGCGAAGATAGACGCCGAGGAGACTAAGCCGAGTGCACCAAAGGGTACTGCCAGCCGTCCAACGGTAAACCGTAGGACAAAACCACTAACCGAATCACAATTGGCCAACCTTGCTCCAAACCACGGCGGTCATGGTAAAGCCTTGACCGGGTTGAGAAATCTTGGAAATTCCTGTTACATGAATTCCGTATTACAGTGTCTCATTGCCACCGCCCCCCTGGCCCAGTATATACTACACTCGTATTATCTAGATGATATCAATAAGACAAACCCACTTGGCACGGGGGGTCGTATAGCCGAAGAACTGGCAGTACTGACTAGGGTTGCACACGCGGGGAACTATCGGTCTGTATCGCCATATGAATTTAAGAGAACCATAGGGAGGTTCGCTCCAGAGTTTGGTGGCACAAAACAACAAGATTCACAAGAATTCCTCTTGGTGCTACTCGATCAATTTCACGAAGATACAAATAGGGTAGGTGAATATGTTGTCAATTGATTAGTTCAACTCTGACTCTCCAGAATAGATTGTTCCAGCTATATATATCCATCACCACAGCTAGAAAGAGTATGTTAAAAGTAGTAAAATTGCAAAGTTTGGTTGCGACATGTTGTAAAATGCGGAAAATATCGCCCTGCGAAATTTGCAAATTTTGTATTAATTTGTATCACGCGCGGGAAAATGCACCACATTTGGGCCGATATACAAATTAATCAGCACAACATTTGCAAATTTTCGATTTCGTAGGGCTATATTTTCCGCATTTTACAACATTTCGCAACCAAACTTTGCATTTTAACATGCTCCTTCTAGCTGTGGTGATGGATTTTGTTCTTCTTGCCAAGATCAAAATTTAGTCTATAGCTGCATGGAATCATTTAGACGCCGTAGTTTTCATGAGCCGAACTTAATCTATATTTTAGTTGACTAAAATATAGGTACAGTATATATTTCATTTTGATTCAAACAGGCTCGTGCTTTTCATGAGCCGTGCCTAACTGCGTTTATTCCCCTTGAATCCTGGGGCGAGTGAACGATCTTCGTAGATGTCTGTTATGAGGCAGCCACGTTGTCAAATTATGCCCGCGTGGTGTTAATTTACCAGCGCGTGAGGACGAGAATGATAATTTTGCTGTTACCATAAACTATGCATTTGGTACGGCTCATGACAGTGTTGTGCCAGATTGGTTTTTGCAACGCTCTTTTTGTAATGTAAACACCAATCGTAGCAATTTTGGGTTCAGTTCGTGTTTCAAGATAGGGCAAAAAAAAAATATGTGGGTTTCCGGTTTCCCGACCCTACCTAGCTTTTGGACGTCGAAATCCCGACCCTAAACTTTTTTATTGGATCATGCTTGTAAGTGTTTCCACTTAGAGGAAAAATTGAAATTTGAGGCAATATTAGGGAAATTTATCTTTGGATGTGGAAGCACTGACTAAACAAAATGGCGTCCGCTTGTTCGGAA